AGAGTTAGAGCAAAATGTAAGCGTGAAAACATCAAAAACAGAAGAAAGAAAATGGTGATGTTTTTTGCTACTTAATTTTTTTCTGGTTATTCTTGTTGTTGGTTGCTGTTGCTGCTGCAACTTAATCCCTCTTTTCCTTGGCAGCGAATGGTTGATTCTTGGAGCAAGCCTTTTATGAAACCTTTAATGACTCCAAGAATGTTCAGCTATATGAGGTTCTCTACTTTTTTCTATTTAACTTATAGATTCATTCAAATGTTGGTAATCTTTTTGGAATACAAGGTGGATCAGATGTTCTTGGTTTTCTGGAGCTTGAATAGATAGTTTACATGCATCTGCTACTCAAAATAGTAATAAAACAAGAATAAAAGAGAACCACGCTGTGTATGACTAATGACCTTCCTAGTTGAGCTTCAAGGGCATCAGATCAGGCCATTATTATAGTCAAGTTGTTTCTTGATTCACTGATTCAAGTTATGGAATTCTTGTGGCTGATTTTATGCCTTAAGTTATTTGTTCAAACTACTCATGTTTGAAAATTATTATTTGTGGCTAAATGAGAGTATCTTTTCTGTTATCAGGTGTCATTTTCAGACCCATTGCTCTTATGCTTGAGTCCAATTAAACAGCTGCTTCTTCCATTTATGAGGAAACCTAGCGATGGAGAAAAGGACACTCTTCAGAGTTAGACTGTTTTTTCATTCGGTGACCATTATTACTTTTGAAAGGAATTTAAGATACTAAATCTTCTAACCGGGTACTCAAAGTTTCTTATATCCTAACATAACTATTCATATGATACCTTTAGCTTGAAATATGCTTTGTTGTTGGTTTGAAGGTATATTTTCCTGCTTGAAAATTTTGGTAGAGTAAGATGGCAAGGCTTTGGTTTGGCAACAAAAGACAAATAGTCATCACTTCTTTATTGCCCGATGCTTCTTCTGGAGGATAAATAGGTAGCCCGTACCCAGCATGTTCTAGATACTGTATGATCTAAATTCTTGAGTTAATCCCCATTTTTACATTGAAGGGATACCAGGCTCAAAAGAAAATGAGGATGTGCTTGGTTTTGAACATGGACCTATTTGCTATTTTCATTTTCATCGAATGGAAAATTAATGCTAAAATGTGCTTGGTTATTGAAAATGATAATTATATTTTAGCAAATGGAAATCCATAATGGCAGAAAACTGATAACAATTGTGGTATATTATCACTGTTTTCAATGAAAATATAGCAGATAACAAAAACAAAACATATTTTTGTTCCACTCACCAATTTCATTTTCTAAAAAAAATGAAAAGCATAGAAGCACTCCTTATACTATTGTTAGTTTTATTGCAGTTTCATTTTCTTACATTCTAAACAGTTATACCATCATCACTGCCTTATCCGAGACTATACTATTTTGCTACTTCTGTCAACAATATCCCTTTGGTTTTCCCTGCAGATTCTTTGACTTGTCTCTTAGCAGCTAACTCTAAAACTAAAATCCTGTTGGCACAAAAGGATTGAAAAATTAATTTTACAGTTTGAGAGACATCAATTTGGTTGCAGAATACCTTGGTGTCGAGTTTTTCAAAGGAACTGATGTATAATATAATATTCTTCCCTTTAACTGATGTGTAGAGTTGAATGAATTGTATCTTATTTTATGATCCTGCCTCCAATATTTCTCAACTATTAGAATAAAATGCATTATTATTCTCTTGGATATTTGATTCGGACAACAAATTCAGGCAGAAGTTGGTTTATATTGATTCAGTCTTTCCCTATATTGTATTTGTCTTGAGATAGAATTCTATTTTATTTTATTTTATTGTTAGTAATAGAGGATTCCATGCCATTTTTCTTGCAAGAAAAGTTGAACATAAACTCAAGAGAGCAGGTTATATCTGGTGACAGAAGTCGTATATATACAGTATAACATTTGCTCAAAATCTTCAACCCTAAACTTTATGAAATCAAAATTAATATTGTGGAATTTATTTCTTGACAAAGTCATAGCAATAATTTCAGTGGATGGTTGATAAAATTAATGATCATCCAGCTGGACAGCGTAAAATGGTAAAACAAAAGAAAAGGCAAACGGTTGGACAAAGTCGGAAAGCTTTTTTGTCAAATACTGTTGATTATAAAAATTTTTATATATTTTTTTGGAAAGATATTAAATGACAAATACGTAAGAGTAGAACCAGTAATTTTTTTTATAAATTTTAATTATAATTAATAAAATGAAATTTTTTAATATTTTATTAATAAATTATATAGTGTTGACTGATTATAAAAACTTTTATTTTTAAAATAAAATTATTTTTTATGATTTGAGAATTGAGAATTTTTTCTTTATATTTGTGTACGAATAAAATCGTGAGAATAAATTTTTAAATTCTCATAATGTATTATACCGTATGGAATTCAATAATTTTTGTATTAATAGTAATCAACAATGGATTTCATTTGGTTGAGAGGAATATCTCATTATTAGTGAAAATAAAAAATTTAAAACTGAAAATCAATATTTTTCACTTTCTTTGAGTAACACATTTTTTTAATTTTAATAATTCGTATATAGATCAATAAATGATTGGTTCAATTGATTAGATTTATTTTTTTTATAAAAAATTTTTAAATTCAAATTTTATCTATAATCATTTGTTGAAATCATTTCAAATGTATAATTTTTAATCATCTATTTTAAATTATCAAATATAATATATTTTATTTTAATCTAAAAAATTAAATAATTTATCTATCTCAAATTTTTAAAAAAAAAAACAATTCGTATATGGGATTTCGTAACAAATGGCAGGTATACAAATATCTAGCTCGTTGACTGTGTAAATAAATAATATTTTATTATGCAAAATCTTCGTTCTGGATATATCCTTTGGACCCGGTTCTTTGATGGTGTTCGAAATTTACATAAAAATTTTTCAAACTGACAAATTCAACGAAGAATGATATCATCATATTTGAAAACTTAAATTTAATTTAATAATAATTAGATTGGTACCACTCAATAATAGTAATAGTCAGATAGGTATAGTATGAGAACAGATACATGTACCATTAAACCGAGTGACGGACCGTTACTTTGACCCGTTGTTTCATTAAAATAAAATTCATCCGAAATTGGATTTTTTTTTTAACTCTCATGTTTACATTAAAATAAGATTTTTTAATAGGAAACAACTTTGAAAGAGTTTTAACCTTTTTTAATGAGAGGCGGGCTTTGAGGTTTTTTTTTTTTTTTTTTCTCTTGAAATTGCATTTGATAGTACGACGGATTCAATCCTAATGCATTGTAACCGTGATACAATGAGAATTTTTTTTTTGTCAATAAAAATTTAAAAAAAATATATCTCATCTCTAAAATCAAAATAAATCATCAATTTACAAGAAAATTTACAAATTTTTTGAACTTATAAATTATTTACCAATAATAAACTTTAAAGATTCAAATCTTAAATTTTAATTATTTACATTAATTTTTATTTAAAGTTGAACAAACAGTCGATTCGATTAAATTAATTATAAAAATCAAATAATTGATAAAACTAATTTAATTTATTATAAAAATTAAATTAACTTATATATATAAAAATCAAATAGTTTTTGTTTCATATTATTCAATATACTTATATTATATTATTTTTTAATTATTTATTTTATATTAAGTTGAGTATTTTAATTTATTCAATTTAAATATTTTAAAATCAAAAATTGATTAATTTAATCATTTAAACCAAAATAATAATCGAAATATTCATATAATTCAAATTACCCAACTTATTTTCCCTCGAAATTTTGGTTTTTATCATTTTTTTTTTTTGTTATAACCAAATTTTACTCAACCTGACAATTTTTCTCAATTTTTACCACACTATCAAATCATCCCTAAATCTTAAGGAAAATAGCTTCACAAATTGTATGGAAAAGAAGTCGAATTGGTAGGGCCAATGAAGAATGATAGTTCAATTTCTCCTTCATTTAATAGTGAATTCACTTCCTTATGATTGTTGTATTGCGATTTTACAAAGCTTTTATGAGTCATAATCTTGGGCAACTATTTTTCAAAAGACAGTTGCTTTTTGACTTTTTCTAGAACTAGTTCTTCCTTACACAAGCTTTGAAGTTAATTCAATTACATATCAAGTTAGCAGACATCTGAAATCACTACTGTTTTAAGCCAAACCTAAAGTCCTTTTTTTCGGCTTATGGACCACAAGATTTTTAAGCTTTATACTTTGGTTAAAGTAAAGCAAATTGGTAATTAAATGAAGATATTTTTAACTATATGAATTTAATTTTTAATAAAATAATAATGCTCCCTCTATCTTTTTTTTTTTTGTCAATCTTTCCTTTTTGAGATATATTAAAATTATGTCTTTTTTTTTAGTCTAAAACTTTTATTTTTTATTTTTTGATATTAAAAATAATGAAAATTTAATTTTATAAAAAAATTTAAATTTTAATATTAAATACATTAAAATCAATAACTTACAAATTAAAATAAATTATTTATATACTAAATTGAACGAGTAAATAAATATTTATTTATTTATCTTATGTTAATAAAGTAGATATAACTTTGAAACGTTCGAAAACATTGACCAAAAAAATTTAAATTTTATATAACATTACAATATTATTTTTTTCTTATAAATGAGTACAATTACTATACAATAAATATATAATACTAATACAAATGCGACCACATCATATCTTACTAGAGGATTCTTTACCTTATATAAACCTCATTTTATTTATATAAAAAAGAAAATGCATAAAAGCGTATGAAATACACATATGATGTTAGCTCATCGAACATGAATGTAAAAGAAATAAAATATTTTTAAAAAAATTATAATAAAAAATTATTGTAAATATTTTTAAATAAAAAATTATTAATAAAATAATTTATCAAATGTTAGTTGATAATGCACAAACGGACTGAGTTAAGTCGGGGTAAGTATAAATATGCAACGAACCGTGGTCCATGTCTTGCTCAAAACTGTTTGTCGTGTTGTGTTTCTTTAACCAAAACTCGTTCTTTCTAAGATTTTGTCTTTAAATTCTCTTGTTTTTTAGTATTTTTTTTCCAAAGCCAATTACCCTTCTTTTCACCTTCTTTGATTTTCTTCTAAATTTCCCGTCTTTATTTTAGAGAGAAATAAAGGAAAATGGATAGTGCTACAAAGTTTGTGTAAGAGAGAGGAAATGGCGGCGGTTTTTCCCGCCTGTATTATGGTAATGGTCTTGGTTTTGGAGGCTGCGGTGGTTATGGATGGTTTTCCAGCGACTTTGAATCTGGAGAGAAGGATTCCTCTGGCGAGTCAGGAACTCGACCTGAGTCGACTCAGAGAACGTGATAGAGTCAGGCATGGAAGGTTGCTGCAGTCCTCCGTTGGTGTCGTGGATTTTTCTCTTCAAGGCACATATGATCCGTTTCTTGTTGGGTAAATAAGTTCGAATCACAATTTTTAATCTTTTTCGAGTTTAGGCTTGGTTTTTTGGATCATTGGTTTCTAAATTTAGATTGAAAAGTTTAATTTTTTGATGGGTTTTGTTTTTTGGAATTTGATATTTATAAATAAAATTATCATTCTTATTACCTTCTTTCTCTGTTCACCATTTCCTTCTCTTTCTCTTTGATTTTCCTTTGCTTTGGCTTTTGTTTCCTCTATCCTTCTCTCTCTTCTTAGTTTGACTGATTTATTTTTTATTTGTTTTTAGGCTATATTATACCCAATTACAATTAGGTTCTCCTCCGAGGGATTTCTATGTACAGATTGATACTGGAAGTGATGTTTTATGGATAGGTTGCAATTCCTGCAATGGTTGTCCTCAATCTAGTGGACTTAAAGTAAAATTCGCTTTTCCTTATATTTGTTTATATTCCTTTTTTTTTATTATTTTGGTAATTGATTGAAACAAAAAGACTTGAGCTATTATGATTTTCTTACAGATTCAACTTACTTTGTATGATCCTAAAAGCTCATCAACATCTTCATTAGTCTCATGTTCAGACAAGAGATGTAAAGCAGGTGTTCAAACATCAGATTCTAGCTGTTCAGGTCAGAGCAATCAATGCAGTTATTCATTTCAGTATGGTGATGGTAGCGGAACATCGGGATATTATGTATCGGATTTGTTGCATTTTGATACAATACTTGACGGATCTATGACTGCTAACTCTACAGCTCCTATTATGTTTGGGTGAGCTATGTAGAATTCTTCAATGTTATGATACTAATCATGTTTTTTCGAATTTGTTTGCTTATAAAGTGGAATTTATTGGCTTAAGTTGTGGATTGTGAAACAGGTGTAGTACGGTACAGACTGGAGACTTGACAAAGTCAGACAGAGCGGTTGATGGAATCTTTGGGTTTGGGCAACAGAGTTTGTCTGTAATCTCACAACTTTCATCGCAGGGAATAACACCTAGAGTGTTTTCCCACTGCTTAAAAGGAAATAATGGTGGTGGAGGTATACTTGTTTTTGGAGAGATTTTGGAGCCGAATATGGTTTACACTCCACTTGTCCCATCACAGTATGTTCTTTTTTGTTAGGAATTTTATCTCATTTTAGCAGCTCTCTTTTTTATCTATCGTTTCTGTTTGTGATCCTGGTTAGCTATTTCTTTTTATTATGCTTTATTAAATTGTTTACAGAATTGAACTTTTTGCCTGTTCCTGGTTTTGAAATTGTCATTTTCTTAATTTATAACTGTAAGCACTTTGTAATCTTTGAAAGGTTAGGAGGAAAAAGCATCACTAAAATAAACTGCACCTCAAGCCAGAATTTGTTCTATCTTCAATCGCTCATTTTTTAGTCAATTACACTTGCTTTTGATTTTGATTTTCGACGGGTAGTGTTCCTTATTATTTATAAAACAAAAAAACCTTTGTGCCTATGGTGTGACACATAGTGGTACTATGTTCTGATCATAATTTCTTCCATTATTTGGTTGAAACAGACTGTCATTTGAACTTTGTTATTTTTATTATATGCAGCTTTCCTCAATATTTATAATACATTTTCAAATGTGATTTAAAAATATCTCTCAGTTCTAATGATACATGGCATGAATAGAGTAGGTATAATTGAAGAAGAAGATTAATACAGCAGTTATTTCATAATTTGAATTGGCTTTGGCTTTCATAATCAGTCTTAATAATAAAAGTAGCTACATTTTTTAAATTTCCAGAGATGGTATAAAGCTCTAACCTTCAGAGATTTATAATCCCCTATCTCCCGTAGATTAGATATAAGCGATTTCTTTCTGCTAGTGAATCTCATTTGATGGATGTAACCCCTTTTTTTTTCCTTTGCAATTTGTATTATGTAGCATGTTTATGTCACCTATCAGGCACACCAATTTAGACTTGTCTTATTTGGAGGCTTCTTCGCTATGTTACAGATAATCATTTAAGTTTCAGCTGATTCTTATATTTTAAATATTAATGTTCTTTCTTTGGCTGAAGCATTGCCTCGATAATAGACTCCCCTCCAAAATAGTCACCAAGTTGAAATCCCCCTTAATGAGACTGTCAAGAGAATTAAAAAAAGGAAAAAGAATCTTCTTTCTGCTTGCTTGATGGTATATGCTTTACAGTTGGAATAAATAAGGCCCGATGGCAATTTGCTTAACCATTCTTGCACATACAAATTTCAGGCCTCACTATAATCTTAATCTGCTGAGCATTTCTGTTGGCGGAAAAGTTTTATCAATTAACCCGTCAGTGTTTTCAACATCAAACAACCAAGGAACAATAGTTGATTCTGGAACAACTTTGGCATACCTAGCTGATGAAGCTTATGATGCTTTTGTCAACGCTGTAAGTATTGAGCTAGGTTTTACTGATACTTGGACATTATTAAGGAGATTCATCAGCAATATGCTTATTACCTGCTAAGCTTCTTTTTGTTTAATGAAACACAATTACAGTATGATTGTGAAGGATGCGTTAAATCATTTAAATTATTCTCTTGTTGTGCAGATCACAAACACTGTTTCCCAAACTGCGAGCCCTTATGTTTCCAACGGAAATCAATGCTACCAGATGACCTCCAGGTTGACTTCACACATATTATTTCATTTTGTTTTCAACAAGAGTGTTCAATCTTCTAAGATGATTGTAACTGAAATTGTGTTAACATTCTGTTCAGTATCACTGACATATTCCCTCAAGTTAGTCTGAACTTTGCCGGTGCATCCATGATTTTAAATCCTCAGGACTATCTTGTACAGCAGAATTCTAATGTGAGTCTTTTAAAGCTTTTGACATGCATACATAGATTTCCATCTACTTTTATCTTCTTCTCTTTCTACTATATTGTTGAGGATCTGTCGAATTTTCTTCCCTTTATTTACTGCTTCTGTCTAATCATTAGCCAATGTTTCAATTGCAAAGTGGAAGCATATTGAAACAGGCTTTAAAATTTAATTCTAATCTGAATGAAGTTCCTTGTTTCTGCATCATGTTTTTATTTCATATCCCAAATTTCTGAATGGAATGATCTGCTTTGATTTTTACAGGGTGGTGTTACAGTTTGGTGCATTGGCTTTCAGAAAATTCAGGGTCAAAAGATAACAATTTTAGGAGGTATTTTCACTGAACAGAATGTTTTGATTGATTGGAATGTACTTAGTTTGGACTTCATGAATTTTGGGTCCCCTCTAAAGTTTGTAATTTTCATAAAATATTAGTGCTTTTTGATCACTGATCTGGATGGTTTTTGCCTCCGTGGAGAAAGCAGCAAGCCAGATAAAAGTTTCACTATCTTCCTTTTTTGCAGATCTTGTTTTAAAAGACAAAATCGTTGTTTATGATCTGGTAAATCAACGGATTGGATGGACCAACTATGACTGTAAGTGTAAATTACCCTGTCAAAATGAGCCTTAGGATTCCACATTACAATAGATTTTGTTAATAATCTTACAGTGCAACGATCTCCTCAGTCCTGTAAGCCGGCACTTTCACCATAATGGTGAAACAGATTTAATATATGCCAATTGAAACTGATCTTTATGTGTTAAAAGTAAGCCATTTTTTAGCACCAAATACGAGAAAATATTTTGATGTTACGATAATCAAAGGCTATGATTTTTGCTTTTTTTTATAAGGAATAACGTTACGAATAGCCTTGATATCATTGAGTTTACATCAAACACTGAATCTGCTCCCTTGTGTATGTGATTAGGTTCAATGTCAGTCAATGTCACTGCAAAAGTTAACACAGGAACTGAATTTGTCGATGCGGGGCAAATGAGCAACGATGGTTCATCACGGTATCAATCACCGAGCATGATAGCTTTACTTCTACGTATAATTGTGCTTGCCGGTCTTCTATTTTCATAGCATATACTGCAAGGGCTCTGGAAATAACATTCTTGATTTCATTGTATATTTTCTCACCTGTTTGTGATTTATAGCAATCTGCAGAACCATGATTTATTATTTGATTTGCAGCCAGCTTGTGGCTGGCTGCTCAGTGTGCAATACAATTGTAGGTTATTTTCATGGCACTGTTTTTCTTTCGAGTGTGTCTTCATCAGCCATGAAAAATTACAGATTTTAGGGGTTTGCTTTATTGGCAGTGGTGTAAATTACATTCGTATACAGGATCATTTTTTACAGCAAATTTCATTTATACAAAACCTTCTTGTATTTGTTACTTAGCTTTTACTTTTAATCTCATATCCCTTTATCCATATCAAATCCTCATGTCATTCAAAGACACTCCAGAATAAAAAGATCTTGTGCTGTATGAAAAAAAAGAAAAAGAAAAAAAGAAATGCTTTTACATATTTTACAAGAATTAACACCAGATGCATCGAGAAAAAGGCATTAGTATCAAAATCTCGGCATATCGAGAAACCATGTTGCTCAAAGATAAAACTTGACCCATAAAAAAACGGATATGATTAAGCAGAGAGTGGAAAATCTAAGCATCAGGTAAGATTCAGAAACTTAAGCTCCATAAGATTGGATCTGATGAAATTAAAAATAATAATAAATTTTATTATAATTATAATTTAAAAAAATTTAATAAATATTTATGTTGAATGAATTTTATTAAAATTAATATTTAAATTTGATGACAAAATAAATTCCATCACCTGCATCGAAAATTTAATAAAATCTAAACCTAACCAAAGAGAAAAGAGACAGATGACGGTTGAAACCCAGCTACCACCTCGGCATCAAATACTTGCAAAATCCGGAAGATTGTGTAGTAGTTCGGAGCTTTAAATCCAGAGAAAATATGTGTTGGAAGTTAATGCCATTGACATGTGTGAGAGCCACTGAGTTTCCACGTCACAAGAAACATGTAAAACCCCTCAGAAGAAAAACTGCTCATCGCCCATTGGCATTGCAACATGGCGATCTGAGGGACCCCAAGATGATATCTTACTTTAATATCTAGGACCCACTTCAACCTTACTCAAATTTAAAGACAAACGCAAGTCTAAGCGCGTGAAGCTCAAATCACAAAAAACTTCTTCAGTCCCCAGGCTCTCCCAACTCCCCAAAGCTAAAAGGGCCATCTCTCTCCAAAAATCTATAATAAAAATTCCTTCCTTTAATCATCCGGCGAAGCCACCCTCAAAAACCCTACTTTTCTACCACCTCAACCACCTGTCAAATCCATTAAACTCAAATTTCGCATCAAGTTTTCTTTTTTTTTTTTTCTATTTTCTTGATAGAGTTTTTAAGTTTCTTGGTTTTAAAATCTGGGTTTTTGATTGAACATAAAAACTCGTTTGAATTCAATCAAAACTTGTAAATTTAAATATCCAATTTGTCCTTTTTGTTTTGGAAATGGCTGAGGATAAGAATGGAGATCGAAGTGAAGTGAGTGATTACTCATCAGAAGATGAAGGGACTGAAGACTACAGAAGAGGAGGGTACCATGCGGTGCGGATTGGTGACACTTTTAAGAATGGTTGCTATGTGGCTCAAAGCAAGCTTGGCTGGGGTCATTTCTCCACCGTTTGGCTTGCTTGGGATACTCAAAGATCGGTATTTTCCTCTTCTTTTTGTTGCTTTTGAGTTTTTCTTTTCTCTCCTTTTTAATAAATTTATAGTAGGCTTATGGTGAAGTTTGCTTTTCTGATGGGAACTGGAAATTTAGGGAAGTTTTAAATTCTTGTGAGCTGGTTGAACTTTTCAAGTAAGAAAAAACTTGTATATTTTGTTAGTGAAGAAACCAAAGAGAAAGATAATGAAAGGAGCAATGAAGATATGGGATTTTCACCATTGGTTTTAACTGGTGAATCCTTAATAAGGTGAAACAAATATTAGAATGATGATAAAATACACTTATAAAATGTAGGCCCAGGTTTATTGTTTCTTTGTGACAAAAAAAAAGGGGATAAATTTCATTTTTCTCGTGGAATATTTTGTTTGGGTGTATTAAGAACAATGAAAGGAGTCATTGTAAGAGATGGTGGAATGTGCATTGCTTTTGGTTAATTGAAGGGTCTTATTTCTGCAGCTAAAGTTGTGAAAGAGTCTAAGATTTGTCTCCTTGCAATTTAGCTTCAGAGGCCCTTCATTTGCCAGTCACAGATAATTTTCGCTATATTACATATAGTTTTCTTGTTGCGGCATTTATATTATGATTATTTTCAATGTGCTTATTTATCACTACGTTTCTTTCTTCAGATTATATGATGCTTTGTTCCTTAAATTTTGTCTTTTTCTTATGTAGAATTGGATCAGCAATTGCCATTTAATATTCATGGTTCAACTCTTTAACCAGATGAGAAATTATTGTTTGTAGCTTTACGTAGCTTTGAAGATTCAAAAGAGTGCTCAGCACTACACTGAGGCAGCAATGGATGAGATAAAGATCCTAAAACAGATAGCTGAGGGAGATCCAGATGATAAAAAGTGTGTTGTGAAGCTCTTGGATCATTTCAAGCATTCAGGGCCTAATGGGCAGCATATGTGTATGGTTTTTGAGTACTTGGGGGATAACCTTTTGACCCTTATTAAGTATAGTGATTATCGAGGGGTTCCACTTCACATGGTTAAAGAGATTTGTCATCATATCCTAATGGGTCTCGATTATTTACATCGTGAACTTTCAATCATTCACACTGATTTAAAACCAGAGAACGTGTTGCTATTGTCAGTGATTGATCCATCAAGAGATCCTAGGAAATCTGGTGCTTCTCTCATTCTTCCAACTAGAAAGGATAAGGTTGTCTCAGAGACTGTTGCTTCAAAAGAAATTAACAGTTCAAATGGAGATTTGACAAGGAATCAGAAAAAGAAGATTCAGAAGAAGGCTAAGAAGGCAGATCAAGCTTGTGTAGGAAAGGAAGTTTCTGAGGAAAATGAGACAGATTCCCAGACTGGTGATATGGAAGATATTAATGCTGATGCAAAATCAAATGAAGTTTCTGGTGAAGAACAGCCAAATAGTTCTATGGTTGAAGATGAGGCAAAGAGTGATGGAATTAACAATGGTAACCAAGGAAAGGAGCGCCATAGAAGGGGGAGCAGTGCAACAAGGAAAAAACTGCTAGAAGAAGTTGATCTTAAGTGTAAATTGGTTGACTTTGGCAATGCTTGCTGGACATATAAACAATTTACAAATGATATTCAAACCAGGCAGTATAGATGTCCTGAGGTTATCCTTGGATCCAAATACTCAACATCAGCAGACTTATGGTCTTTTGCTTGTATTTGTTTTGAACTGGCTACTGGTGATGTTCTTTTTGATCCTCACAGTGGTGAAAACTATGATCGAGATGAGGTATGTAGAAACCATTCTGACTGTCTATCTCAGATTTTTATTTGCCTTCATTGGATACTTCATAGTCTTATGTGCCTCTTAATTACTGTGGACCTGTGGTTCTTATGTGTGATAGCCATGTAGTTTTTGAATTAATTTCACCAATCTTATGTTGAACTATTTGCACCATAGTGGATATTAGACCTGGCATTGCTTGATGCTTGTTTGTTTTCCTTGTAAGATTGTTCTAATTTGCATGCATTTACATATAAATACCAGTGCCTCCCTTATGCGCAGCAAATAAGGACAGAGAGAAAATGAAAGTTAAATGATGAAATTTCTTAGGCACTAACATGAGTTCAATATGTTTTTACCTTAGATTTGTTATACCAGCCATAATTTTGTAACAAATGAGGTTCTGTTATGCTTGTTTAGCTTCTATTTTCTAATAAAACAACAGAAGTCAGTATGAAATCTATAACATAGAGGGTTGCTTGGCATTTGTTCGCATTCAACACCGAACAAAACAAAAACCACCGATTATGCATAACAAAAGTAATTATGTGTTTTCTAAAAGAACTTGTTTCCTCTCTCTGAATTTTTTTTTCTTCCCTCTAACAGTACTAAAATGTAAAAACAAGAAATTTTAATCCGGTAGGCTTCTTACATTTTAAGTTGTTTTGTGGATATCTGTAAATGACCAATAAAAACTAACGGGTTATTCTTTGTTCCAGAAAATTACTCACTTCCCTTAGAAATTTTCAGTGGCCTTAGATGCAACACCAAATAAGGCTTCATTCCATTTTATGTTTGAAATAAGCTTTTATGTAACCTACAATGGGCTACGATATGTGCCTAATTGTTTCCTATTTGAGCAGTCATGACAAACTTAAAGAAATTCTTAGAAACAGAAAGGCCACCATAAGATGAGATGAGCCCCACCTACCTATCATATATAATTTTTCAATATTATTATTTTGAGTTCTGCAGACAATTAAGAGATTTTGTTCTTGCCTTTTTCCCCTGACTTATATTTCTCATTTCCAGGATCACCTGGCATTAATGATGGAGCTTCTTGGAATGATGCCACGCAAGGTAAGAACAACAATTACCTCTCAAAGGAACAAGTTTGCCATCCTCCTTTCGTCTTCTCTTTGTTTTTTGGTTAATTGTTATAAGTGTTGTTTCAAGGGAATAAAGTAAATCTTGACTGCTTCACTCTGTTAAACCATAGACTTTAAGGTATTGTGAATGTAATTCTCACTGTTTTGAGTGTAACAATTTTCTTCAGATTGCATTAGGTGGCCGCTATTCTCGGGATTTCTTCAACAGATATGGAGACTTGAGGCATATCCGTCGGTTACGTTTTTGGTCTCTCAATAAGGTGCTTATGGAAAAGTATGATTTGAGCGAGCAAGATGCTACTGACATGGCTGGCTTCCTAATTCCAATACTTGATTTTGTCCCTGAAAAGAGACCCACAGCAGCTCAATGCCTCAGCCACCCATGGATCAGTGCAGGCCCTAGACTGCTTGAACCTTCCACAACGGCTCCTGAACAGTGCACAGATGATAGTACATCTGAAATGGAAAGGAAAGAGAAGGATGACCGGGAGGCCATGGAGGCTGGACTAGGGAATATAGCAATTGATGAGCGAGCTTCAAAGCAATTGAAAGAAATGCTTCCAAAGTTGAAATAACTCTTTATCCGAGCATTTTTAATCCGGTGATTTCTCATGAAGTTCTTTCTTCCTCACTCGTATAACTTTGCCAAAAGGCAGCTTGCATTGTTCGCTATCCGTTCTTCGCGAGGAATATTACTTTTCCTCGTTCACATGACATCTATACTATACCTTTTCGAAGGGATCCAGCATGGGTAGCTCCAGTTTTGAAAGAACCTTTTTGAGCATGTGCTCAAATCTCAAGCAAAGGTTCCCAACAGTAAATGGATCTAATGTTTTTACCCCTCCATGTACAATTTACACTGTTTCTCTAGAGAATTCACGTCTCAGATCAAATTGTATTTCGGATATGCATAATGTACATTTGATTGGAAATGTTTCTTAATTTCGGTTCTATGGTTACCACAAAGTTCTTTGGTACACGGTAGGTTCAAGCGGAAAAAGGTGGCAATTTTGAATTCTATTCCTGGAGTTTTCATAGTTTAATAGTAGCTTGATCTGTTATTGATGGAAAAGAGGGTTTCCTCACAAAGTGCGAAACATAACACTCCCAATTGAATCCAGGGTGGGAGAAAAAACTACTCGGAGAGAAAGAAATCAAGTTTACAACTCGATATCATGGAAAGGAATCGTAAATGCCTGACAATAATAAATGTGTTGATTAAATTAACTATAACAGGTGACTATATGAGGGGCACTGGTTCCCACTCCTTCCTATTTCTTCATCCTATTCCCCTTGTATATGTTCATAATACCATACTGCATTTTTGGGTTCTGTTCAACATTTTGCTTTTCCTCTTTTATGTTCTGCAAGGGCTTGTAGCAAAATTGAGGTTTAAGGTAATGCGCAACTTACCTGAACTCCAAAATTACAGTATTTTCCTAGTCCTGAGATATGAATGCATGAGAAAAAACGCCACAACAGCGCCGACAATAATCCCTGCTGTGGTTAGCCAAAAGGCAAACTGCACCCACATTATGGATATGGTAAGTGAAAATCACCTAAATACGAATGAACTAAGCAGTGAGAAAATACTGAATGTTCAAACTTTTATGACAAACATACCAAGTGTTCTTCCAAGTAGGACCTTATATTCATGCCAAATATACCTGAAAACAGGAAATATGAACATGAGCCTCTTGACAAGGTTGCTCATAATTCCCACTAAAATTCTTCAAGAATCATTTTGCTGTCCATAATGAAATAAATGATTTCAAGAATCAACCCAAAAAACATTTATATCATCCATGCCACGTAAATCAAAAGATGATTCATCTATGCTAGCCATCAGCATTATAACCTTTTTGCACCTTCTCCCTCTTTAACTGATTCCGAACATGAGCAGTTTCTCTAGGTCCCATCCCCTCCCACATAACCAAATAAACAAACAACAAAATTATCACCGCATTTCAAATAAAGAATCCATGAACTATCCTTGATTGCACTGAAACAAGTTATAATTTTATTTGTCTAGTGATGATCAAGCATCCTAATGAATCATGACTTGTGGAATCTAAAGTTTACAGTTTCTATACTGGGTAAGCATGGAGATTTTTACTACCAGGTATCTGGTTTGGTCTTGTTATAGCAGCCATTCAGCAATGTGTTAATACCATTATTAACTAAATCACAAGAATCTAAGCAGCTCATGCGGATAATTATAGCAATCAGAACACCGTATTTATTAAACCATGATTATGTTAAGCAATTCCTGCATGTAATCAGTAGAGGCTTGCTTTCTATTTTCTTGCTGGTGGAAGGACAAACCTGCAATTAGAGCACCAACTGCCACACAAAATGTCCCAATCTGAAGAAGTAGCTCGACTCTGCTTACCTCAAGCCTCCGAGAGCTGATAAAAATAGTTAAATAACCTCATTTCATTAGTTAAAGGAGTGTGGATTCAGATGCAAGAGAAAGATATACTTGAAATGATTCTGAAAACTCAAATCATCGTAATCATGGAAAAGAGGAACATGGGATTTTGGAGAATAAAGTACAGAGAAAACCCCAAATGAAATGGTGATGCTGAAAATAGAAGTAAATAAACTTCATCAAGACCTTAAGTTGACAGCAATAGAATCTTCCATTTCTTTTGCAGAATCAAGAAGCCTTTCTGCCTGACCATGGCAAGATTCACATCTGCAAATGCAGCAAGACATAATAATAAGTTATAGACATTGAAAACATCACATGGCCTCAAAAAAAATGATATAAGCACAGCAGTTTTAATAAGACATAAGCCTTTCTGCCTGGCCATTGAAAATCTTTTTCAACAGACTGCCACTTCCTAGAAGTAGTACTTATTCCTTTAAGCTAAACGAAACCTCAAATAAAATACATCTTACTTATCAGTCTTATTTAGTTTATGTCTTGTTCATATCAAATAGAATGAGGACCTTTTAAAGAGCTCTTGCAAGTTGCAACCCAACTTGAAAACTATCAAGAATATTAAAATGAAGAAAATAAATAATAATCCTGTTTGATGCGCCAACAACATACTAGATATTCATCATAAATGGATCAAAGGAAAAACCTTTGAAGATAATTTTCCACAAGCATCTCAATTTCTTCCTCCTCTTCTGCAAAATGACGAAATCAAACCAAATTAGAACTCTTTAAAAGGAAAACAAATTAGAACTCAGATTAATGAGTACAGTTTACCTTCAGCAATTAGCTTTTCTAAGGGTACAGAACATTCCACGTCATCATTTCCCTTTTTTAGAGTACAATTTCTTCCCATTATACATATAAGACGTATTTCATCAGGATCCTCCAAAAGATCAAGCAGCATTTGTCTAAGAGCTCCTGCTCTTGAACCCAATTCAACCTTGCATGATAAGATGAAAAGAAAAAGATAATAATTTGAAGACAAGATATTTAACTATTTATTACCATGCAACTGAAAAAGGTATTGTAAAGTTACTATACCAAAGTCTGCTTGCTGATACGAAGTTGCTCCAATATGTCAACGGTTAATTTGTTAGGCAACACTTCTAGCAGAGCTTGAACCTTTGCAAATGGAAAAGCACTAATCATGATCAAACAGGTTCATACTATGACAAACTTTCACATAACAACATTGTAAAACACATGTAAGGCACTCAAGGTACAAATCTGCAAGCTCAGAAGGGAGGATTTTTGCATTACACACATACAGGAAATTGAAGTTAAAACGAAATAACATCATCAAGAATTGCTAACAGCAATTTCAAGTTCTCCTTAATTAATCACAGTAAAAATGATGAATTTTAATGTGTATATGTTCTAGGGAAAACATATATTCTAATTACATCAAAAGAATTGTCGGAGAACAGTTAGAATAAGTAACTCTTGGAGGCAAGCTTAGAGCACATGATAATAACCCAAAAAAAGACTTGCAAATGAGCAAAAGCCAAGCACCTCATGAGTCAAGCCCTAGCTAAATAAACTTAGGGGCTAGGTCAACCTTTTACTAGGCGCCAACTTTACTCTTTTACATAAATAAGCTTAGTTAAAAATATTTTGCAACAGCACTAACAAGCTTCAGCACAAAGTTCAAGTTTGAGCTCATTGACGGATAACAATTATTCTAAAATAGAAAAAACCTTTTTGTTTATATGGAGTTAAGACAGTGCTATAAAGATTTTAGGTATTCCAATAGTCACAAATAGGCTCATTAAAAGAATATTACATACATATCTCATATCATCTAAATGCACCTATAAATCAGTTGTTTACAAGTTAAAAATCAAGAGTATCTCATTAGCATAAACAAGCTTAAGTGCTAAACACCCTCTTGCTCAAACTTGGCTTATTTAACAAAATGAGCCTAAATAACAAGCTTAAACTTGTTTATTAGATTTAATAAAAAAAAAAACCAGCATTTTGATGACAAGTTTAAAGTTGATCGAGAGCAACTTGGTTCATTTGCCACTGCTTGACGTATAATACAATTAGCACCAAATCGGCTTAAGCATACCTCTCAAAGGTTTTTAATAGTCATTTTTAACTAGAGGGCCAATGAGTTCTCTAAGCGTGTTGAGAGAAACAAGAAAGATGAAACATATAAAATAAATGACAAAAAAGACATCGAACTACTGCCTATAAAGAATTTCTTGAATCAGCAGTTCCTATTGTAGTGCCACTTGGAACTTGAAAACCATTTTCTACTGAAATTTGCTTGCAACCACTATAGCAAATGTCCAGGATTGGTGGTGTGCAGCTTCATAACGACTTTGTCAATTCACCATAAAGCTTGTAAAGAGAAAATGAAAATGAAAAACAAGAAACAAACAAAAAAATATATACTCACTATGTTCGCATACTCACACAAGGTTCTAAATCCATTAGTCTTCGTTCCAAACGCTGTATTCGTGAAAGTAATGCTGCTTCGACAACCTGAAAGTACCACACCAAAAGCCTCTCAAAAAGCTCAAATGTTTAAGATTATTGTTTCAAACAAAAACCGTACAAACCACCTTTTACATCAGCATCTAAAAGAAAGGATCCTAAGTAAGACACAAACCTCAAGCTCGAATGGCATACAGTGCCCTCCATTCATGTTATTCAGTCGAGGCAATAATGTGCCCATAAAAGCCTTTCCACCTTTACTAAAAATGATCAACACATGCAACAAGTTCATCAATGTCAATTCAATGACATAAAACAATGAGATCATGTTTGCACAGATGCTGAAGAAGAGATTACCGATTATAGTCGAATATAAGAACACATTCATGCATTGCTATTGCTCGCAATGATCCCAAATTAAGTAGAATTGCGTGCTCTCGTACCTTTGAGCATGGAATAGAGAAAAATGAGTTTGCGAACACATTTTAGACATAAATACAGGAAAACTAAGGAAACAAACCGATACTCAAAGCCTAGCAATTGGAACTTAGCATGACAAATAAAAGAATTATCACGAGATATAATGACACAAGTGTCTATTACCAGAAGAGATGGTGCTGAGTTTGTCAAAAACAATGAAGGATCAATACTCCGGATATCCCTTGGACGAAGGCCTAAGAAAAATATAAATCAAAATTAATCCACAATAATTTTAAAAAAATAGCTTTTTTCTCTGCAATTAAAGCTTGTAACAACTAAGAAAAGAAAATTACAAAATTACATTACCACTTGATTTCAATAATTGACGTCGGTTTATTGTCCTCGTAGATACTACTCCATTTGACTTCACCTCTACCACCTTTAGAGATTGACAAAAAAACACAAAAATAAACACGAGAAATAAAATTATAAACCATATTAGTAATTAGTAAATTGTTCGGGAATTAATAAATCCTAAAATTATTAACTAATATTAGCACACAATTATACTACACAATTGCATGGAAATGCAAGTAAACTGTACTAATGCTCTAATTTTTAGTTCTTCTTTTTTTTTTTTGTGCTCATAATATCTTACTCTTTCTTCTTCTTCTTCTTTGTTATGAGCAATAATTTCTCTTAGCTTAAAAAATAATGAAAAAGGTGAACAAATTCTATTTATCTTCCAAAAAGAAAGGAAAAGAGAAAACCTCATAGACAGGCTCACGAATTCCAAGCAAGAGAGAATCACTGGAAGAGGAAGTGATCCTCTGAGTAGCAACCACAGAACTCTGATGTTGCTGCACCTTCGGATATTCCCTTCCTCCATCATCATCAACATCATCACCGACATTCTCAGCGACCAATGTTTCAGACTCGTTCAAACGATCCTCTTCCGTAGATGATCTAGCAAAGCACTTGATCCTCTTAGAAGACGGTTTCACTGAAACAGGAAGTACAGGAACACCGCTATTTTGAAGGAAAAACGGAGAAGCGTTTGGCGGCCATGGAGAACCGAAGAGAAGAAAATGTAAGGACGGAGATGGACATTTAACAGAGAATTGGAGAAGATTTGGATAAGGAGGTGGGGAAGTTAGCGCCATTGTTTCGTTCGGTTCTTCTCACAACAGAAGAGAGAATCTGATTTTTGCTTTAAAACAACGAAACGATGTTTTCTTTTTCGCCCTCCTGTATTGAAAAGAGGGAATCTTGTTACTGCTTTAACGGAAAATGACCGTTAATATTTGTGGCTGAGGGCACAGAATAGGATTATATTCGTTGCCCCTTACTTTTATTTTGAGATGTAATTTTTATTTATATTTATTATATATTTTGGGTATAAAATAAAAAATAAAAAAAAAGGTTGAAACAGAGGAAACAAGTCAATGCCGGACTTTGGAACTGCCACCTGGCTCCCGCTTTGTGGTTAAGCGCCCTTTTCTTGTTGTTTAAGACATGCAAGTAACCAAGAGCAAAACCAAGTTCCCTATTAACCCTGAATATCAAGAGCTGCAGCAAATCGACTTTAATATTATTTCTTCTCCAAATTGAATCCTATTGGGAACTCATCAAAACGTACAAGGAATACGTTTTCTTCTAAATTACTGCCATCCAGGTTCTAGATCACGTCATTGAACTCTTGGGGTAGTGTCCGGCGTGGCAGCATGGATTTCATTTCTTGAATTCTTCAATAGTTCTTTATGTTAGAATTGAACATCTTCACTTTTCCTTCCTGATCATTGGAGTTTTAGGCTGTCAAAACAGTTGGTTTGCCACCAAAACTTAAAAGTGCCCCACAGAATTAATATCCATTATATCATAAACCTGATATCAATGTCGGATTCTGATGGCAAATTCAGTTTATGCTAAAAAACGTGTTACTGTATTTCATGCATAATGCAATACTGGAATGTGTAAGACCTTAAACATTTCTGGTGGACGTGAAGCAGAGGATGGAATGCTTTATTTCTTGAATAACTTTATTGTCCATATTATGCTATGCTTTTCAAATTCAATGAAGCCATAAAGTACTTCCTTTCCTCCTGGAAAAAAAATTTTATTGCAGACGGAAGGGTCAAAACCAGAGTCATAAAAACATAGTTTGTAAAAGGAACTAAACATGGGCACAGCACATCTTATTTTACAATGTCAAGCCTGTCATGGATTCACGAATACGGGAGAAAGCACTTAAAATCTCTGGATGTTTCAAAATCATGATGACAAATAATGACAAAAATGGAGCAATTTTTCAACTTCAGTAAATGACAAGAAAATTTATCTATCGCAATCACGAAGAACATGTCTCAGCTATGTAATTATATTCCAATGCCGAGTCTAAAATTTGAAGTGAGAAATCCCTTCAAATTTGAAGGGATTTGCTGTCAAGCCTTTTGTGGGGTGTAGTAGGAGACATGGAACTGAATTCTTCATATGAATTCTTCAATAAGAGGCTGGTAGAACAATTTGTAAGCCTCCAAAACTTCAAGATACCACATTGCTTCTCGGTCCGGAAACTGAGACAGATCAACAATCTTATGAACCTATTAAGCAATGATATGCAGTGTCAGAAACTGCATTTCATCTTTAGATATAAAGCAGAATTGCTTAGAACATTTTGTGAATAAACTAAATTATGGCATGAATTTGAAGAAATTAAATGGGGAATTCAAGTACCTTGATAACAGGGAGGTCACCCGTACGGACAAAATACCCACCCACCACCATTACATACATCCCTGCCAAAACAAAGAAAAACGAAGTCGTTTAAACAAGATGCGCCTCCCATGCTAAAATGCGCCATCGAAAAAGAGTGGTGGGGGTGGCAAAAAGTAAACCCTTTTTCCATTGACGGGTATGGAAATCGCCGGAGAGGCTAAGCTCGACGATTCCGGTGCCATCGTCGAGAAGCAGGCCATCATCATCGTCGTTTGAGACCAAAACGCCCTGTCAAAAAACAAAAGAGGTAAAGTAGGGATTTTGATAAAAGCAAAGGAAGTAGGAGAGAGTGAAAGAAAAAGACTTGTAGCCAAGCACGTTGGAAGAGAATGCCGCCAAGAGTCAAGGCGTTTTGAGAAGGAGTTTCTCGAGCATCTTTCAGTTGCCCGCATAGCAGTTTCAGCGCTGCTAAACTATAGTCCATCGCTGTCTTGTCTTTCGATTGTTTTTCCCCCTGTTTTTCCCTCTAATGCAATTGGTTTTTTTTTTTTTTTTTCTTTTAATTCTTAATTTTGGGCCAGGGACGAACTTCAATTTGGAATGGATCAGGAAGTCTACGCTCCAATAGCCAGAGGCCCGTAGCCCGATCTTCTTCAGATTTGAGCCCAATGAGGAAAATGGTCGACGCTGATCCATTTTTTTATATGCAATGGGTTAGCTTTGAACTTTGATTTTTCTTTTTCTTTGCATAGATTTGATTGACATTTCTTGGGAAGAAACATTACTTATGAAAGTGATGCTAACTCAACAGTAAAAAGAGTGTTATAAAATTTTCTCAGAAATTATACATCTGATAAGCGTGATTAACATGGAACCGCTACTCACATTTCATACTCTACAACCTATAAAATTTTTATTCAAAGTACTGTGCTAGATGAATGACATGGAAAGCACAGGACAGCAAAGAACTATGCAATTTATCTTTGCTTTTCAATTCTGACTGATTTCAAGATTTATTTGTCAAATCTAATAGAAATTGGAGAACTTGCTGTCGTTCACACCTGAATCTTTGGGTTGGATTTAGTCTAGAATTGGTTTCTTTCGGCCTTTTGCATCGGATATCCGAATTCCAACTTGTTAAAGATATATATTTAGTCCCCTATGAGGGAAAAGAAGAAACACCAAGGAAGATTCCTAAACTAACCTCCAATAGTTTCAGTCAACAACCAAAACTATAGTTGTAAACTCAGACCAAAGCCAAAGTCTACCAAGTTGTCCCTTGAACTTTGTTTTCTATGGTCAGATTAGCTCGGAGCTCCGCCTGGTATTATTACATCATGATTTCTAACTTTCCAAGTGCTCATTGTCGACTCTGAATCTCTTGGATCATGTTCGGTTTGTTAATTCATCTAGATTCTGTCGCTTTCACAAAAAATCAGATCGAAAAACACTCCTCCTTTGGAATTTTTTATGTTACCCAATGGAAAAGAATAAAAAGAATAAGTTTTTTTGTACATGTCCTATAAATACCCTGCATATGTCCTTCGCTTCTTATAACTTAAGCAACAATCAATATGGACTTCCTGAAAAAACTTGAGACTTTTCTTGTTTCAATTGTAGCATTCCTTCGAATGTGTCCTAAATTAGGCCTGCCACGATCACAGCCATCGCCACCACCGTCATTCCCACCAACTTCATCAATTGTCGACCTTGAATCGCATCAGCCACCAACACTGCCATCACCACCACCTTCTGCTAATGACCCTGAAACAGAGTTACCACCTTCTGCTATCGACCATGAATCATCTCGGTCACCAACACAGCCATCAGCACCACCACCTTCTACTAATTATCGTGAGACCCTGCAACCACAGTCGACGCCACAGCCAACTCCTACTACACCCGCCAACCTGAAACAAATAGAGTCTATACTTACTGCCCAGCAGCATCTACAATTGAAAAACTCAGTCCTGTCATTTTGCTTTTCATATGCCCTTGCTGTCTCTCTCCAATACACCCCGATTGATCATCAAGCCAATCATCTCGATTCTTCCTTCATTTTCCTTTCCTTTCTTGTCCTACTTACATTCAATCTTCTCTTAGTAGCATTGTTTATTAGCCCAAATTACACCAAAACTTCAGAGGTATTGGAGAAAGTTGCCTTCCTAGTAGCCGCAGCTGCATTTTGCTACGCTACTGCAATTCCCTTCCCATTTGAGCTCAAGTGCGCTGTCTTGTTGGTGTTTCTACACTCCTTGCTCCTTATCACGATCTTCGAATACTTGAATCACAACATTGCCTGATGTTTTGCAAACTGAGAAAATTGGCTTTCTTTGTTAATTTGATAGCGTTTAGCTTTACACTTAGTACTTGGAAATCATTGTCTGTGGATTCAACCATTCAATGTAAGAGCAAAAGTTAATTTGAGCCCTTATGCTGTTCCCTTGACCCTTGTGAATGTATCATTTGCTGTATACTGATTTGCTAGTGAATATTTTTATGGCATTTCAAAAAATGAGTTCCCAAAGAAGTGTTTCATGTGATTTTTTTAGCAGATCCAAAAATTATGTTATTTTATTCAGGTAGAGTGATTTGCAGAAAAATGGGAAGAAAAAGTATATGTGCATGCTTCCATTTATCTGGAAATTACAATAACAGTAATAATTCCAGATTAGTTATTACCAAGGTGAGAAGACTATATTCACTCACCTCTTTAGAACACCTTAAAAAAATCCAACAAAATTCATGTAGAAAGAGGCTGGGAAAATTGCTTTCCAAATACGTTATATATGTAGCCAAAATTAAAGAAAAAGGATATCCACTATTGAAAGATCCAACCATATCCGCTTAGTGCAATAGGTCACCTGAATATAATAAACAAAAGAAAGGTACGAATGCGAGGCTTTACTAAATTAATTTATGTAGCCATTTTTAAGGAATGACTTCAAGTAAGTTTAGACTTTAGTCTTCAAATCCAAAATTTTGTATTCCCAGGCTACGGCCTCGTTTGTTAAGAAAATACCCATTTAGGTGGATAGAAACAAAATTGAAAAGAACTGAAATTGAATGAAGAAGACTAGAGAAAGGTTTGTCTTTGAGTTTTGTCATGTGGAAATGTGTGTGCCTTTGGTTGGCAGAACCGATTGAGTTGCCTAAATAATTACTTGTCCATTGTGTTTCTTCAGTTATTGTTTACTAAATCAACGGAAATAAAACCCGGATATCCGCTTTGCAAATGTTTGCGTTGGAGTTTGTAAAAAGGTCTGCTTTTTGTCTAATAGAAGCCCTTTCCTTGCTCTTTCCCTTATTATTTTGCCTGCCCCACTATAAATATTTATAAGCCTTGGATTCTTTCTTCCTTGTACCAATCAATATGGACTTTCTGCAAAAGCTTAAGAGGTTTCTTGCTTCTACAATTGTACCATTCGTCATCCGAGTCTGTCCTGAACTACACCAGCAAAGATCACAGCCAGAACAGCCACCATCACTGCCACAGCCAGCAACTTCAAGTATCGACATCGAATCACCTCAGCCAGAAAGACTGCCATCACCATTATCACCTTCTCCTTCTAATGATCTTGAATCCCCACATTCCCATTTGCCCTCGCCAGCCCCAACTCCTACTACGCCCTATAACCTGAAACTGCAGCAAGAGTCTTTACTTGCTGCCCAGCAGCATCTACAATGGCAAAATTCAGTTCTAGCGTTTTGCTTTTCATATGCACTTGGTGTATCCCCCCAATTTGTGGGGACTGATCAATCCAATCATCAGCTACCTGTGTCCATGGTTTTGCTTTCGTTTCTTGTCCTACTTACATTCATTTTTATCTTGGTTGCTTTCTTTATCCACCCAAATTGCACCAGAACTTCACAAACATTGGAGCAAATCGCCCGCCTCCTAGCTGCAGCTGCATTTTGTCACACTCTTTCGATTCCCTTTTCATTTGAGCTCAAGTGTGCCATCTGGGGTGTCTTTCTCCTCTCCTTGCTCATTGTCATGATCTTCGCATACTTGTATCCTAACACAGCCTGACGTTAATTTGCAATCTGCTTGTTTCATGATGCCTGCATTGTTCAGTTCTATAACATCTGATGAAAGTACTAATTCAGTCACAGCGAAGAGTCAAAACAGAACTCAAAAATTGCCTTGAAAATTTCATTATCTGTGAATAGATTGCGTGGAGTCCGTATACAATTAGTTGCTGATCTGACCGAGAATAGAAGATGCGAATCTATATGTGATTGTTTGGACCTCTACTGGTTTGAATCTATTTGCGAATCTATATGAGATTGATTGCAAATAACAGGAAAACAGAGTGATTCCAGAATTCTTCCATAGTAAGTCCACTGTTAGTTCATGTATAGCCTAAGATGTCTCATGTTGTATAACATCCTAATCTGATATCAGGATGTGCTAACGATCCGTTATAATATAATATATATATATATATATGATTTGAGCATACACTTGCAAAACATCTTTTGTTGGATAAAACTGGAAGACATTCAAATCAAAACGAGCAATCCTTCGCATATTAGATATGGATCTCCATGAACAGATCATATATGAACTATCAAGTCAACTAAGCAATAAGCAACATAAAGAGTCCCAAGTAGACACGTTTGAGCAGAGGAAACATATATAAAATTAAACAAAGATGTCAATCCTTTCCTGGAAAACGTTCGCTGAAACAATCAAAAATTATTAAACGAACTGGCTCGCCTCCAAGTAATCATATGGATATCAATTTGTATGCACTGGCAGGTAAAATGTCCCTTGAAAGGCAGGAAGTTCTCTATCTGACATGCTGCAGGTAATTAAATTTCCAACTCGCTTACCAACATCCAAGAACTTGAAGTTGTTTGCATTGGCAGTTTCAGTGATTTCAATCGTTATTCTCTGTTGTGTCTTAAAAGCATAATAACCTAATTTTATGCTAAAATGATAAAATGCTTGTTAAATGTGTTCGTGAGACTGATCAAAATAAATTAGGCTTGATTGACATTTTTAAAAGTTTATTCTTTACCCGATTCAATCCACTCATTAAAATCCGTTTAACCTCATTGTTATTAAGATATTAAAAAGTTATTTATATTATTAATTTAATATTTTTAAATATATTTTAAAATTAAATTCATGTACAAAATATATTTTGAGTTGGACCAAGCTCAATTTATGCTTTAGATATTTAGTTCAAGAAATTTATCCAAGGTCTAACGGGCCATCCAACCCATAAACACGTCTAATGTTGGCCTAAAGTAATCTTTTAGTGCTAAATTGCTTCAAAAATACTAGTAAGGTGAGAAAGAAAAGATATTTATATTATATAATATTTATATTATATAAATTTAAATATTTTATTAAATATTTAATATTATTAAATATAATATTTTATTAAATATCTTTAAACAATAAATATTTACATAATATTAATTAAATATCATTCAATAAAATATTTAATTAAATATTATATTAACATATATTATTATTAAATATAATTTAGAATTATATTAATTTGTATTATTATGTAACAGAATTTAATATTAAATAATTATATTTAATTATTTAC